TTCCTTCTCAATTCCCAATTCTTCTGAAACATGCAATAACACATTTCTTGGCTTAATGTTCATTTCCTCTTATTACTGCTCGGTAAAGTTCATCTGGTTCTTTTCTACATTGTTTCGGATCTTCCTTCCTGGGATTGAGTATTTGTTCTTTTTGTTGCCATCTTTTTTTCTGATTCCACTAAAATGCTTGTTTATCTTGTAGTTTTCAGTACTGAGGAAGCATTATAACTGAAACATTTATCTATACAGATACCGACTCCCCTGATCTGAATTTCCAACTGTTACACTCAAGCTGTTACACATTTTATCTTTATAAAGCAAAACAAAACACATGGTTTTAATTTCTATTAAAGCTGAAGTCCCTACTTTTTATATTTGTAACTAATTTTATTTTATTTAAAATTTGAGTCATCTCTTTAATTTCAAAATTCATTGGCCAGTCCTAAGCTAGATGTTTTTTATTATTGCTGTTTTCTATATATAGCAGGACTTGAACATTTCCAACATCTGTGGACAGAGAAATACAGTTAATGATTCAAGTCAGTGATTGTTTGTCAGAACTTACAATACTTGGAGATCTAGCAGTTTTTAAGCAAGGCAGAGGAAGAGGAGGAAGGAACAAAAGGGAAAGATTGTGAAAGGGCGCAGAGCAAGACAGCTTAAATTTCAAGAGGATCAATAGTGGAAGATAAAGAGATGATAATGGCACAAGTAAAGAAACAAAGGATGTGCCTAGAGGAGGAGTAAACATGAAAAACTGAATCCTCAGCAAAAAGCTCCAACCAAAAAAAAATTCAAAATTATAATCTGAAATTAGTTAGCCCTGTGTTAAATCCAGAAAACTGTAAAGTGTCTAGCTGAGAGATAAGGTGTTTCTCTTCAATTTTATGTTGAGTTTTATTGGGACAGTGTAGGTGACCAAGGACAGGAGGGAAGAGTAGGACTGGGGACAGAGAAAATTCAAATGACATGACTGAAAAGTCAAGATCATGCCTGTGGACTCAGATCCGGTGACCCATGAAGAGATCATACAATCTCTGCTTGTTTTCCCCAAAATCAATTGGAAACTCACCCCAGACCGTAGTGGTTCAAAATGGCAGTTCCCCAACACCACCTCAAGGACAACTAGGGATGTGCAACATCCAATCCTTTGAATATGTTTAAAAAATATAGAGATTGCATTGTGAACTGCAAATTCAGTTAAAAAAAAATGAAAGAAGCACAAAGATAATTGCACTTAAAGAAGTGTGTTCAGGATATTGATGGTGAGAAAGAAGGTGTTGAATTTCCTGCACTTGCATGGGATTGGGTGTTGAGGGTGTTTGAGTAGTGGATCAGGATATCCACCAGGAGGGAGCAGTACCATTGGAAGGTTGAGAGGGGAGTGAGTTGCATTTAATGGTAGCATCGGGCAAGAGGTGATAATCAGTTGAAGGTGAGAGTAAGGGAAACTTTTGGGATTCTGGAAGATTTGAGGTCAGAAGTGTGGCAGATGAGCCATTTGAAGGCAAGAGAAGGGGGTGGGGGGATTGGAAACCAGTTGATGAAATTTTCTAATTGAATGGAAGAGCAGGAAATGGAACTAAAAGCAGTTACCCAGTGAATCAGAAGTGTTGAGGAAGGGAATTCAAGAACGACTGAAACAGGACTAAGCAGCCCACTTGATTGGCACTGCATCCACAAACATCCCCTCCCTTCACCACAGATGCTAAGTAGCCGCAGTGTGTACTATTTACAAGATGCATTGCAGAAATTCACCAAAGAGCCTTACACAGCATCTTCGAAACCCATGACCAGTTCCATCTAGAAAGACAAAAGCAACAGATACATGGGAATATCATACCTTCAAGTTCCCCTCCAAGCCACTCATCACATTGACTTGGAAATATATCACTGTTCCTTTACTGTTGCTGGGTCAAAGTCCTGGAATTCTCTCCGTAAGGGCAATGAGGGTCAACCTACAGCATGTGGACTGCAGCGGTTCAAGAAGACCACTCACGACCCACCTTCTAGAGGGCAGGGAGAGATGGACAATAAATACTAGCCATAAATAATGCCCCTGTCCCATGAGTAAATGAAAAATAAAGTCAAGGTACTGGTATCAGCGAATCAGGTGCGGAACACTACACAAAATGATCCTTCTAGAGTCTAGTGGTGGACTTAGTCCTAAGAGGAAGGACTTGTCATAGAAACTGCCCAGAATTACGCCTGTGCAGGAGGTGGGAATTGTCCAAATCAGATGCGTGTTAACTGTGGGGAATGAGAGTTGTTTTCCCTCCCTGTTAAGAGGAAAGGTGCTAAAACAAGAGCACTAAGGGCACCTGGTATTATGCAAGTGAAAGAAATAGCCAGGAGTAACTTTTGGTGTCAAATGTGAATCCCAGATTAAGGAGAAAGCAGGATCATCATAATCCTGTGCATTAGTGAGGAAGGCACCGCTGTTGTCACCCCTTCACCCATGGGAGTGGCCTCAATTACTGTGGCAACAGATTCATGTCGACTTTGCAGAACTAATAGAGGGATGGATGTTACTAGTAGTCGTGGATGCCCACTCCAAGTTGTCTGAGTTGGCGGAATGTTGACTCAAGCCATTTTCTTTAACGTTAAATGAGAGGTGTTTATATCACATATTCAGAATGATGCTCTCATAACTCCAGTGTTCAGTTCAGAAAGCAAGTGTAACAATATAGAAGTCGTGAAGTGAATAGCATGGTTCTGTAATCACTGTGTCTGTGGAAGATGCCAATGAAGGACAGCAGATAATGAAGCAGAGGGGACCAATGGCTGTGAGACATGACAATAAAATCCATATCTTGTTTGACATGAGACAACTTTCCTTAAACCTCATTCTAGTTTCTATTGATTCATTCTAGCTAATGGAACAATGCCATTGAAAAATAAGCCAATCCCAGTTTACCAAGAATCTAAAGCCTTCTTCCCTGCATCATCATTCCAGCCATGCAATAATTTCTCTATGAAATCTTTCACTTTGAAATCTTCCTATTTCTGTGCTCATTGGCATGTGGCACTGAGAGTAATTTTGAGGTTACTACTTTTGAGATCCTGCATGCTAAACATCTACTCAAATTGCTAAGTTCTAATTGTAGGGCCACACCTCCCTTCCTATCTATGTCATTGGTACTACCATTGACCATGACCTCAGGGTAGTTCCCCTCCCCAAAATAATGTGCTGTAGCCATTCTGCAGGCATGATCCAGGTACCAGGAAGTCAGCATACTCTCCATTCTCTTCTCCTAACTAATGGTTCCCTTATTATTCCTGCTGATCCACTCTTCTTTCTCTACTGTGATACCATGGGCAGGCAGTTGCTGTGCTCCTCTAAGCACTATTGCCCTCACCAGAATCTAGAATGGAAAACAAATTGGAGACTCCTATACTACTCACCTGGTTCCCTTAGACTTCCCAGTGGTCATCCATTCCCTATCTACGAGTATACCTATATACTGTTGTGTGACCACCACCTGAAATGTGTTATCTGCTTAGTCTTCTGCCTCACAATTGCACTGGAGTCTATCCAGCAGACTGTCCCATTTAAAACTCAGAGCCCGAGTTTCTACAGCTCATGACAGTTTCTGCACATGTTCATCTAAGTCGCAAGAAGTGTCCACAACATCCCACATGGTACAGAATGGAAATTCCATGTGGTGGGGCCACCCTGTCATACTTTTGGCTTACTTTTAGACTACTATTCATTCCAGTTTATAGTAAATAAAGTTACTTACTTTAACTCATCAATCAGCTCCTTCTACAAAATTCTCTGTCAAAGGTAAATAAAATAGTGACAATATAAACTTCACAACTTTAATAAATGCTCATGGATTGAAAGAATTGGCAAAGATAAATTGTTATACAAGGAAAGAAGCAGCAATAACTCTGGAATAAACTGTTTCTCAAGATGAAAGGAACAAGGAGAAACTTATGAAGGACTTGAAAGCAACTTGTGAATTAACCATCCCTGGGAAGGAACAACTCAAACAACCTGTTTCCTGGGAGAGAGGAGATAATGATTGCTTGATAACCTGCTGCTTTGTGACAAATGGACAATTAAGTCTGCCTGCAAAAGGAATGTTCTGAAGTAAAGCACTTAATTACGGGAAAAGTTATGTTTCAAACAGACAGCTAATGCCGAATGTAACGAGGAATATGAGAGCTACTTCTGATAAGACAAGTTACAGACTTGAGGTTATTGAATCATCAAAATGTCAAACCACAAATTTGAAAGAGAGAAAATTGTATAAGAATCTATCACCGAAATAATCCGGTAGCAGAACTTCGAAAAACAACACTGCACAAGTATTGAACCCTGGACACATCAAGTAAATGACATTATTGGTTGGAATCCTGACCAGATCCCACCATTAATTGGGTAATAGCCAAATCGTGTTGTGAGGCTTAACGTACTTACTTGAGGGGTCATATTTTGATTGCTACATGCAATAAAGTTTAAATCATTGTTTCAGTAGTTGATTGCCTGTGAGGTTTCTTAATAAGTAGCCGAATGGAAGGCAACTTGTGGGGATTTAGCCACAACAAAAACCATTGTGTATTTTAACTATTCACTCAACTCATTAAACCCAACATGCCACTCAAGCCACACTTGCATTCATTACAAAATAGTTCAAGCAAGTGAATAAAATTTTACTTATCAACTAAATTACTTTTTGAAACCAGTGCTGGTATGAGGCAATACTTGAATAGCTAAATTAATGTTCTTTATTCTTGAGTTGTAACTATGCACTTAGATTGTTCAACTTTTTTAAATTGAAATTGACAATCACTGTCAGTTCAGAATATTGTATTTGATGAAGTATGCATTTGTTTGGCAAATGAAACTCTCTTTTGTTAATGCTACCTAGTTTCCTTAAATCATAACTTATCTCCTCCCTTTTTTCCAACTTATTTGCTCCATTCCTCCAACTGTAGTTGATGCAAGTTTGTGTTCACAAAACTTTTGAGATGGATTTTTACCTATTCCATAGGCTGCATGGAGTTTGAAAACTCGAGCCTTGACAGAGATGGTGTATGTGGATGAGGTTGATGTAGATCAAGAAGGAATAGCAGAAATGATGCTGAATGATAGTGCTATTGCCCAAGTTGCCCGTAAGTACATTAGAAAATCAATTTTATTGGTTAAGTAAATTATTCCTGATTTTAATTCTGTCAAATCCTTGTATTAGAATTTGCTGTTAGCACTAAATAGGCAGTTTGCCAAACAGTGAGACAGAGTTTAAAGGAATTGAAGAGGATGAAGATTGATTAGTGCAGTGGATATACAGGCAATAAATATATACTGTGAGAAATTGATTTTCTAAAGAAAGTAGAGGGATTGGGAAGAGAACAATACAAAAAGAATGCTATTGAGGTACAGTGATGCCCAAGCATGTAAATACAGAACTCAACAACAGCAACAACTTATTCATATTGTATCTTTAATATAATGAAATGTCCCAAGACATTTCATAGAAGCATTATAAAACAAAGTACGACACCAAACCATATAAAGAGATATTAGATCAAATGGTCCAAAGCTTGGTAAAAGAATTGGGCTTTAAGGAATGTCTGAAAGGAGGAGAGAAAGGTAGAGAGGTGGCATGGTATAGGAAGACGATTTCAAAGCTTGGGCTGGGAGAACCTAAAGCCCACCTAATGGTGGAGCAATTTTGATTGCGAATGCACATGGAGGAGTGCAAATATCTTGGATACTTATGGAGGAAATTAGGAATTGGAAGGGGAAAGGCCCTGGAGAGATTTGAACGTAAAGATGAGAATTTTAAAGTCAAAATATTGCTAGACCAGGACAAAATGTAAGTTGGTGAGTACAAAGGGATGGGGATAGTAGGTGAGAGAGGGTGCTAGTGGAGGGTCATTTTTCAGACTGGACGCCTGTGACCAGTGATGTGCCACAAGAATCCGTGTTGAGTCCACTGCTTTTTGTCATTTATATAAATGATTTGGATATGAATATAGGAGTTATGTTTAGTAAGTTTGGAGATAACACCAAAATGTGTGGTGTACTCGAGAGTGAAGAAAATTATGTCAGAGTACAACAGGACCTTGATCAGGTGGGCCAATGGGCCAAAGAGTGGCAGGCGGAGTTTAATTTAGCTAAATGTGAAGTGTTGCATTTCAATAAGGCAAGCCAGGGCAGGACTTATACAGTTAATGGTAGGGCTCTGGGGAGTGTTGCAGAACAAAGATACTAAGGGGTGCAGATGCATCAATCCTTGAAAGTGGAGTCACAGGGTATACGAATAGGAATGGTTTAGAGGGATATGGGCCAAATGCTGGCAATGGAACTAGGTCAGATTGGGATATCTGGCTGGCAAGGATGATTTGGACTGAAGTATCTGTTTCCGTGCTATATAACTCTATGACTCTATAACAGTATTTGCTGTACACTTGAGACATAGGTAGCTAAGGATTGGGTGATATAATTTATGGAGGGTAGAATGCAAAAGACAGGCCAGTAGTGTGTTGGAATAGTCAAATCTGAAGGTAATGTAAGGTATAAATGAGAGTTTCAGCATCAGATGAGCTGCAATAGAGGCAAAGATGATGTTAAAGACATGGAAATAAACAGTTTTTTCTGATGGCATGAATGAAGCTGGAAGGTCATTTGAAATATGCCGTCAAGGTTGTAAACAGACTGGCTTAATCCCAGAAAGAGAGAGATGGAGTTAGTAGTTAGGGGATAGAGGTTGGAGCAAGAACCGAAAACAATGGCTTTAGTCTTCCTAATATTTCAATTGAAGGAAATTTCTACTCATCCAGTACTTGATGTCTGACGAGCAGTCTGAGTTTTAATAGCAATGAAGAATTCGATGGGTGGTGGTGAGTACAACTGGGTTTCATTAGCATACATGTGAAAACTAATACGCATGTCACTGAGAGGAAGCATGTAGATCCTTAGGGGATACGAAGAAATGGTGCAAGTTATCTATTTAATCTTAAACAGAGATTAAGAATGGAATCAGATGTTGACAGTCCCACCCAAATGGGTGATATTGGAGAGGCATTACAGGAGAATGCTGTGGGTCAACTATGACAAATACCATAGGAAAGAAGGTTTACCTTTCTCATAGTCACATTAGATGTAATTTGATGCAATAAGAGATTTTCCAGAACTACAGTAATAGAAACTTGATTGGAGGGACTCAAAAGTGGAGTTGTAGGAAAGATGAGAATGGATTTGGGAGGACTTTGAACAGAGTGGAAGATTGTCCTTAGGATCGTAAATTGCTAGACCAGGGATTGTAAATTGCTAGACCAGTAAGGATCAATGGAAGAGAGTAATGATAACAACAGATTTAAAGCCAGGGACGACAACAGTTGAAGCGAGGTTGTTTACAACATCTACTAACATGGAGGCCAAAAGGGGAATCTTGATGATAAGAGTATAGTGGGAATAGACTTAATGGAACAAGAGTTTGGTCTCATCAGAAAAATGAGCACAGTAGGGCATGAGGGGAGATGGAAGAGAATAGTATGAGTTCCAGGCCAGGATAGGAGAGGGAGCTTTAAAGGAAGTTTGGCCAAGTAATCTAATGAAAGGGAGGAATGATTAGTCTTGATCCGTGACTGAGGTACTTGCATTGTTGTTGGAGATGAGTAGGGATGGACAAATTGGAGTTTAAGAAGATGGTCTGCATTAGCAAAAAAGACACCAGGGCAATCTCCGTATTCCAAGATGATGTTGGAATTCTGAGCAGCTTTGGCAGAAAAAGGCAGGACCTGAGTACATTTTATGTGGTCCAGCTGGATCTGTCAGTGGACTGCTAAAACAGTTGCCACCATATCCTTTAACTCCTATGTCTCCTGGACTTAAAGGAGTGGAGATGAAATGCTGGAGAGAGAGAGTAAGGGTATATTGGGAACTCCTTGAAAATGTAAGTCAATAAAGCAAGAAGTACATAATATAAAATTAATGAGTTACTAAATTTGTTCATGATAATTGTTAAACTGTAGTTGAAATACTGTGTCCTGGTTTGCTGTGACTTGGTTTGAATATAAACTATTTGTCTGGATTTTGCACTTGACTGTTTACAGAAATATCTGGAGTCCATCTGTGAGCAGTCGAGTGTGGAAATTCAGAAGCTCCCATTGATAATTCTGCAGTATGCAGCGTTAAAAGCCATGTAGATGAAAATCATTGGAAATTGCTTAAGTTAATACAAAACTCCCCCTTTACCCTATTAGCCATGCTGTAAAAATGTGTGCCTGTTGAATGAGGTACGACTGGATTTTTAAAGTCCTACTAAGTTCTTAAGCAGTTTTGAGCAACCTCTCTAGCCTTGAAAAACAGATTTTTAAAAATATTCGTGCAATGTCACATTTGTCCATTATGATCTAAAGATAAATTTCATAGTTTTTTTGCAAAGTTTGACATTTCAGAGTCTCCCTTAATCCCATGAGTATGCCACAATCTTCATTTTAATCTTTATAAAATCTTTTTAAAAATGAAGCATAACCAGTGTTTTTCACTTTCTGCTTAGCTTTCTGTGATTGACTACTTACTTCCATTTAATAACATCTGTTTTTGGCACAGGAGATCTCTTGTAGCTAAGACAGGAATCAAAGTAACATTAGAAAAAGAAAAATTCACACTGCTGAGATTACTAGGTTTTTAAGGGCACTTTTCTCCAAAGTAAATAGTGAACTCTGTTGTTTCATTGCTGGCCACAAAATCTAGGACACAAAGCCATAAAGTGTTTACAGTGCAAATAGGATGATAACAGATTGAAGAAACTATAAGTTTTGAGCAAAAATCTGAGACACTGAGACTTTCTGTTGGTGCTGTGAAAACTGAGACTAACTTTAATTGGCAAAATCTATTTCCTTGTCTTGGAGTATCTGTCATGTGGGTCAGTCATTTAATATCTTTGAAAATGAAAAAGAAGTTTAGGGAAAAGTTGCATGGAGTTGCTAGAGTGTGGAATACTTTGCACAGACAGTTGATGTGGGGACCATTGCCATTTTTCTGGGGAAAACATTGATAAATGAAGTGATGCATTTTGGCAAGACTAACAAACCAAGGAAGTATGGTTTGAATTGTAGGACCCTAGGAAGTGCAGAGGATCAGAGGAACTTTGATGTGGATGTCCAAAGATCCTTGCCGGTGGCAGAACGGGTAAATAAGGTGGTTAAGAAGGCATTTGGGATATTTGCCTTTATTAGTTAAGGCATTGAATATAAGAGCGTAGAGGGCATAGATGGAGCTGTATATAAAAAATATTTAGGCCACAGCTGGAATACTATGTACACCTCTGGTCACCACACAACAACTATGAAGAGAGGCTAGATAGACTGGGGTTGTTTTTCTTAGAGCAGAGGAGGCTGAGTAGGGATCTGATTGAGGTACAAAGATCTAAGGGGCATAGATAGAGAGAAACTTTTTCCCTTAGTAGAGAGGTCAGTAACCAGGGAGCACTGTATGAAGTTAAGGATCAGGAGGTTTAGAGGGGATTTGAGAATTTTTTTTTTCACGGAGCAGACTGTGGGTGGAACTCACTGCCTGAAAGGGTGATGGAGATGGGAACCCTGAAATTTTAAGAACTATTTAGATGAGCATTTGAAATGCCATAGTGTACAAGGCTATGGGCCAAGGGCTGGAAAATGGGATTAGAATAGGTGAATGTTTGATGACCGGTGCAGACACAATAGGCCTCTTTCCGCGCTGTAAAAATGCTATGACTCTTAAGATGCAGAGGTATGAAAGTGAATGTGATAGTAGTATTGGTTTTGGATTACTGTACCCAAGGAGGTGGAATAGACATGGACCTAATTACCTCCTCCTGTGTCGTTTATATTTTTATCTTCAATGATAACTCCAATTGAATCGGAAGGTCAGTACTATATTCTCATTATTGTTTGAATGTCTGATCAGAAAACTAGTATCTCAGTGTAGCTACTAGCTTTGACTGGATGGTTAAGTGAGTCTTGGAGTCGTAGAGATGTACAGCACGGAAACAGACCCTGTGGTGCAACTCATCCATGCCAACCAGACATCCTAGATAAATCTAATCCCATTTGCCAGCATTTGGCCCATATCCCTCTAAACCCTTCCTATTCATATATTCTTCCAGATGCCTTTTACATGTTGCAATTGTACCAGCCTCCACCTCTTCCTCTGGTAGCTCATTCCATACACGCACCACCCTCTGCGTGAAAAAGCTGCCCCTTAGGTCCCTTTTAAATCTTTCTCCTCTCACCTTGAACCTTTGCCCTCTAGTTTCGGACTCCCCCACCCTGGGGGAGCAAACCTTGTCTAATAACCCTATCCATGACCGTGAATGGAGAGAACTGAAACTTTCCTACTTCTGACTCAGTGGTGTAAGTGGCACTACTGAACCATGAATATTTAGCTTTTATAACTCATGTTTTATCTCTATTCCCACATACATTATTTATATTTATACCTGTATAAAATATGTTATTTTCACACATTTTGTGATTACTGTAATTCAGAATGTGATTTTTTCTTTGCTGAGTAAACAAATATATTTTTATACCCAATTATTATTTGTCCATGATCACACATTAAGGTTACACGATGGCATTATATTTGGATTTTGAACCGGATTGCATAGATATCTAAAATCTTTTCCCCCCCATCTGCAGGACCGGGAACATCTTTAAAAGTCTCAGGAATCAGTCAAGGAGGAGGTCCTAGCCCAGCTGTCAGGTATTAAGAGCTTTAATGACAATCCTCTTGATGGCAAGCTCCAGTGCCACAATGTTAGTGTTCCTACGTCTGAGTCACGAGACCTGGGTTCAAGTCCCACCTTCTTCAGGATAGAATATCCTTTATTGTCACATGTACTCTAGTACCGAAGTACAGGAGTACAGTGAAAAGCTTTTACAATGGCTGCCTCTAATGGTACCATCTTAGGTACAGTATCTAGGTACAAATCTTGGATATAAAGAGGAATAATAGGAAAATTAGTAGCATTACTTACAGTGCCTAAAAAATAAGTTAGAAATAAGATAGGTATAACATAATTAAGTGATTGGCATTGCAGTCCGGTAAAGAATTTCAATTAGACATTACATTGCAGCAGCTCAGCCAGCACGTGGTCTGACCACCCTGCCAGGCCCCAGTCCAACAACTGGCCCGCTCCGCTCTAAGCCTCCAGTCCGCTACGCACCGGCATTCAGCCACACCAAGGTAAGTTGCGCTGCACTGGCACTCACTTCCCCTAATGCTTCTCCAGGACTGCTAAAAAGAGAGAGAGTAAAGAAAAGAATGATAAAGAACAGGAGCAGCGGAGGAGCTCCGGGTGGAGCTTCCTACTCTGCTGTCATCTTACCGGAAGAGAGGTGGAAGGAAGATATGACATAACATGTATAAACGGTTTGACTTCTTAAAAAAATTCTCTTAATGGCTTAATGATTAAATGCAGACTGCTTCAAAATGCTTTATAACCAATGAATTTATTTCAAAGTGTAGGTATACAGGTGATGATGCAAGTCTATATTTGGCTGTTGTAATATTTTGGTGAGTTTTGTGTCTGAATCAAGCAAAAACAAGTATTTGTGAGACTCTTCAAACTAATTGATGTAATATCCAAACACTGAGTTTTCTTTTCCTCAAAAGTGAAATCACAACTGCTCCGTATAAGAACTTATTGCTGTACTTAATGAAGTCCAGATCATTTTGTTATAGTTACGTATTGCCCGAACTTTAGGAATATTTGAATTTTCTCAGCTCAGGTAATATTGAGGTTTAACCAGTGAAAGCCTATTAGAAAATATGTTTCCTCCTGTGTGGCCAACAATCCATTACTTTGGTTTATTAGCTCGAATGGTTAACTGGAAGAATGAGCCCTAATGACAGGTCTAACCACATTTTCAAATAGTGGAGGTTGTTTTCTGTAGTCGTGAGCAATGATTATATAATGCACTAAGATAATAAAGAAAGACATAAATATGATGAAAACAAGGTCAATAAGTTGGAGTAAAACTAATATTGTGGAACTATGAATAGAATGTGGGAAAATATAGTGAACAACAATTTTGGCAAACAGCCAAGTTAAGAGCAATGGGAAACTGTTCAGCTGTATGCAGGAAAATATACTCTTTAGTCTTTTGATAGTACAGAACCTGAAAAATAAACAGCCCTTGTTGAATCTTTTCTTCTTGCATCATCATCAGGATATTTTGCAACAACACCAACTCAAGGGGAAAATCAACATTTCTACTGCATGAGAGGAGGACACTGACTGATTGCCAGATGGACTGTGGTAGAGACATTGTTGGGTACGTTCTCCAGTTAACAGCCAGGCTTTGTTTAAAAGTTTAAACCAAGCGGGTTAACTGAGAAATGAACCCAATGAATGGCTACGTCCTATCTTGTTGAGTTGAAACAAATACTGTGCATGTATGGAAACCGAAAGAACTGCGAATGCTGTAAATCAGGAACAAAAACAGAAGTTGCAGGAAAAGCTCAGCAGGTCTGGCAGCATCTGTTAGGGAAAAGACAAAGTTAACGTTTCGGGTCCGGTGACCTCTGAGGAAGGGTCACCGCACCCGAAACGTTAACTCTGTCTTTTCTTTCGCTGTGCATGTATATGTTCTGTCTGCCTGCAATTAATAGGACCTTGTGTATTAAGAGATGTAGCTTTCAGTACATGCATGTGCACTATTCTGTGCGCCCAACTGACAATCCTGAATTGATTGTCTATGTAATTCTTTGTCAGTCAAAAATAAATTGGAAGGCAAAGATAAACGATAGGTTTTACTAGAAATTGGCTAAGTGTCAGTTTTGGCAAGTTTCATGGAGCCTTTCTTTCCTTGAGCCCTAGCAAGTTTTCTCTCCCTATTCTCTGCAGCATGCCTGATGTGCTGTCCACCATAACCTTATCTTCCTTCTTGCTAGAGTTGGAAGTACTTGTCACTGCCAGGATCTCCCTGGATTTCTGGCACAGAGGTTATATTTAAAGCCCAGCCATCAATTAGGTAAAGCACTGCCATGCAGCAGCTGCCCTTCACCATGCATGTTGTGGGAGGGGAACTACAAAGAAGCACTTCCTGGGGCAGGTAGGTGGCACAATTAACACTTCAATGCAAATACAAGTGTACATTCATAAATTTATTGCTATCTAAGGACAAAAGACATAGGTAACGCAACCTTAACATCACCCATCTTGGAACCTTATCTAAAGGAGTGCTACTTCTTCTCCATTACCGAGCATAGATTAAATCTTCTCATGTTCAATGTGGGACCATCATTTACTAGAAAGTCTTCAAACAGTTGAAAATGCTTTTCATTTTATATATTAACAGCAAAAGCAAAGGAATAAAAAACAAACGAGCTGCATTTCCTTCCAGAAACAAACAGGGACTGCTTGCTTATCAAGAAGCAACAAATTTACAGTCAGAATGATCACTGTATCTAACTCAGATCTATTGGAACAGGGTGGCAATTAAATATGTGTAGCTTGTTCAGCCTGGCACTGCACTATGTTGAGAGTGATGTTCTCCTGCTCAATGTCCTCATCTTCCTCCCTGCTCATCAGCCTCCATCAAATCCCCTTTTTGCCTGCTTCAAATGGGGAATGTTGTCTTGAGGAGGGCCATTGTCTACTTTACAGTTGCCCTGATCAGAAGATGGGCTGCATTGTCTCTATGCTTGGCCTCAATCAGAGCGTTGTGTAACTGAGTCATCAGCCATGGTTGCAGGGGATAAAGCATGTCGCCTAGTAGCCATGGGTTCAGGAACATGGAGAGTTCTCCAGGATATAAGCATCATGGCAACCCTCAGTGTACCTGGCACTAACTTACAAGATACAGTACCAGTAATCACAGATGGCTTGAAAATTGATGAACTGAAATCTTTTCCTATTCACAAAATGAACTGTGTTATGATATGGCGCACTTAATGCAATATGTGTGCAACCTGTTCCATCCTGTACCTAGAATAAGCCAGCTATGTTGACAAAATTTATTGTCCAGGCTGCAGCATGACCTTATCTTTTGGAAATAAATGGATGCAGTGTGATCTCGCACAAGCTGTGTCCATAATAATTTTGATACATTTGTAGGTCAAGGGCTATCCTTTCTTCCACAGGTCTCCAGTGGATCCTTGTAAGCAGCTAAGTGTATTCAAGTTTAGTGCAGCTGTCCCTGGAATAGGATGATCACCCATTCCTCCAGGTCACAGGTCCCTCTCCAGCAGTTGTATAATTCAGTGGCCCAAAATGACATCAATTTGCAGCAAAGCTGCCCTTCACTCAGCTAGAGGAAATAACATTGAGGACAATAAGACTTTGGGCCTCCCCCACATCCTGAGGAGACTTCTAGCTGTGACTTCATCATGTGGAGGCTGTTTGGCAGCTGCTGGAGGTTTCTGCTGGTACTTGACTTGCTGGTGCATCAGTTCCTCCTTTTTTTTTCAATGTACCTTTGTTGCATTGTAGCAACAGTGATGATAAGCTCTGCAGTAGCTGGTTCCATTGGTTGAATCTCCAGTGAGCATGTGCAGGTCCAATAATGTAATAACCAATAATATGGTCAAGATTGCTGGTGACCAGAATATGTATCCCATGTGATTTATCACTGCATGCATTTCAAATGCAGGCATTATCATTACAAATAACTTATCATGAAAGTGCCTGATTAAGCAGTTGCTGTTGAAGGGCCTCACATTGTTCACAAGTAGAGATCATGTGCTCGGACATGAAAAGAAAACTCAAGTGCAAAGGGGAAAAGTGCAGAAGAAGACAAGGCAGAGATGCTGTGAGCAACAAAGTAGGTGCAACGTGAATGAACATTAAGAGAGCAAGTAAGGAGCCTTGAGGCACATCCTGATCGAATCCATGAAATGGGTCCTTTCCCTATGCACAAAGTGTGCTGGTAGTAGCACAATGATAGGTGCTGATGCACTCCAAAGTGAAGCATTCAAGTGCCGAACTGCATTGTAAGCGGGTCAGAAATTTACCATGGGGATGTAGTGAGGCTGGTATGTGTCCGATGCTAATCACTGTGGGTGAGGGGTACAGGCCCATTGATTGTGCCCTGAGATGTTGCTGACTGCTATCCAAAGTGGAGGCCTGGAGGAGTAAGCAGTGATCTGGAGAGACCAGGTATCCACTCTGACTTTTGTGTCAGGAATTGTTGAGTTTCCATCCAACGTGTGGGAGAATAGGAAACTGCATATTAATGAGGTGAGGTAAGGTAATAATTGCATGCAAATAGGCCTCTTGAGATTCTTGTCCTCCTGTTCAGAACTTGGCTGGGGAATCAGACCATTTTACTCTAAACATTGACAATTTCATTTCTGCCAGTGCCACTCTATTTTCTCAACTGACCCAATGTCTATGTCGTTCAGGGGCTAGGATGATTCCACCTATCAAATTATCAAGGAACTTATAATGAACTCGTATAATATTTTGACACATGACTTTTAAGTAAAGAAAGGCTGTGATGGGAGTAAACCATTGAGGATGAGCATGATAATGCCTCAAGTAACAATGGAAGGATGGCAGAAATATTAAATAACTGTTTTTCTTTGGTATTTGTTGAGGAGATAGATCAGATAGACATAGCATTGAATAATGTAATAAGAAATGAAATGTGAAAAAGTGGATGTGTGGAATTAACAAATTATGCATCTATCGTTCTTCTGTTTAAATGTCAAGTCAGTCACTTGGCATCAACAAATGAAGCTAAGTTTCCTCTGACAAATAACTGCTTTGAATTTTTTTAAAGAAGTCAAACATTCAATTGAATCTGCAAATCAACAACTAATTTTCATTATAACATGGTTCAAGTTGTATTTAATTGATCTTTGTTTTCTTCCTGTGTTTCTGCTCAAAATACTTCTTTTAAATAGACCCATGTCTCAGTCGGGAAGACCCATCACTGGGTTTGTTCGACCAGGCACCCAGTCTGGCAGACCTGGTACTATGGAGCAAGCTATCAAGACCCCAAGAACGGCTTACACTGCCCGACCAGTAACATGTGCTTCTGGAAGATTTGTTAGGCTGGGGACGGTAAATTTTGAAGAAGTGTAGTTTTAATTTTTTTTTAGATAGTTATCAATTTGTAGTCAAATTCTGTTGGAATTTCAATAATATTTTTGTCTCTCCTCTTCCTTTAGGCCTCCATGCTTACCAGTCCTGATGGACCATTTATTAATTTATCCAGACTAAATTTAACCAAATATGCTGGAAAACCAAATTTAGCTAAGGTTTGTGCCAAATTCTGTATGTGGGCCTGGGATTTCTAGACTAAGCCTACCAAAATAGCACAAAAGATGAGCTAATTTCAGTATAAATTACATTCAGTGCAAAACCCATTTTAAAGAATTTGGTATTTTTATAGTTTTTAATATTGACATAATTTGTGTTTGCTTTAATTTTAACATTCTTACAGCTGAGATTTACAGTTTGGTCCACTTGTAGTTTTTAATTTTTTTTATTAGTTTTATGCAACCTTTTCCTTCCACAGAGTCAAGAATCAGGATCTCTTAACAAGCACCTTAACTCTTGGTTTTTTGGAGGTGGGGGGAGTGATTACCACAGACAAGGGTCCCAAATACTCAAAGGATGGAATCTGTGATGCGAATAGAACTTCATTATAATTTTGCAGTTTTAACTCTCAGTTATGCACATCTAAGTCAGTGTTAAGACACCAGATAAACTTGGTGGTAAGCAGGATTGGTGCCAAAATGGACACAAAGATAATTGTATAGACCTGTGAACCAGAAGGAGCATGACTGTTCTAGGACCCATATGGGAATCGCAAGCCATCCTGTCAAGATACACTCTCAATTCTATGACCACAATTGTCTCCTTTCCACATTTTAACTATTTTTCTTGAGGCCGTTCTCTTCTAACCAACAGTGGCCTGTCACAGAAAATCCTATTTAGTTGGGATCCAGAATACCTGTACAGGCCAAGGAGGCAAATGGATTAAGAAACTGGATCTCTTTTCTCTTGAAAATCAAGGCTGAGATGTGACTTAATAGAGGTGTGGTTAAAACTTACAAAATGTTTGATTGTAGAAAAGAGTATAATTAGAGGTTGTCAACGTAAGAGCATTCCAGTAGGAAACATCATAAAAGAACTTCTTTACTCTAAGAGCAGTGCGAATGTGGCACTCACTATTACAAGAAGTTGTTGAAACATGTAGTAAAGATGCATCTACAGGGAAGCTAGACAAGCATGAATTAGAGTGGAATAGAAGATTACAATGGGTGGGTTTAGATGAGGAAAAATAAAAGGAGATTGTGTGGAGCATAAATGAAGGCATTTCTGTTTGGGCTGAATGGTTTGTTTCTGTACTGTATATGTTTTACTTTTAATATTTGTTCATGCTTAATGGAAAGGCAAGCATTTATTAGCAAATTAGAATTGCTGTTCAGAAGGTGGAAGTGAGCCCTCCAATTGAGTGAGGTGGACGTAACCAGCAGGGTTAGGCCAATCAACATATCTGCTTGGATCCCCACATGAAAGAAGTAAAAAGAGAGGCTGGCATTTATATAGATATTTTCATAGCCACTGGACAGCACAAAATACTTTACGGCCAGTGAAGTACTTTTTGAAATCTAGTCATTCATATAATGTAAGAATCTTTTAATGAAAGGGGACATTATTAACATAATAATTGGACTTGGTACTTCCTTCATTAGCCAAACCTCTAATGCGAACAGCACACCTAACAGAGCTGTGCTCTAAACATTCAGCAAAATGGGCTAGGTGTCTTTAAAATATTTTACCATGTTATATTATTTAAATGAGAGATTGGTGGTAACCATTGAAATGTCAACCGGAAGATTGCTTGCTGCACTAATGGAGAGGGATTCCAACAAAAAAGATGTTTGCCACATTTCTGTCTTTACCACATTCTGTGCAGACTAAACTAAACCTGCCAACTAGAATGTTTTGTATGTTATCAGAAGAGTAAACTATGGGATTTGCAATATTTTATTACTGTGTGTGAATGATGAATTTGAAAACTGATAAACTATTGTGCATTTATGCTTATTTTTCAGGCATTGTTTGAATATATTTTCCATCATGAAAATGATGTTAAAACTGTAAGTTATCAATAAATAACTACTATGGTATCCCAGTTTCTGTCAGGGGTTTATTTCAATTACATGTGGCAAATCTTGGTGTGTAACTGTTAAAGTTATATAAGTATGCTGAAGAACAGATTTGTAAAATGTCTTTTGATTTTTATGATGGGGGGAGGTGGTAGCCTAGTGGTAATTTCATTAGATGAGTAAGCCAGAGTCCCAGAATAATGTTCAAGATCAGATGCTGAAATTTATATTAAATAAAACTCAGAAATGAAAGACTAGTTTACTGATGACTGTGTAATCATTTTCAATTGTTATTGAAAGCCCATATTATTCACAAATGTCCTTTTTTATAGTAGGAAATCTGCTGTCCTTGCCTGGTCTGGCCTACTTGTGACTGCAGACTGGCAGAAGTGTGGTTGACTTTTTCCTACCCTCTGAAATGGCCTAGCAAGGCACTCAGTTCAAGGGCAAATAGGAATGGGCAATAAATGCTGATGTAGCCAGCAATTAATTAAACATTAAAAAAGGAGAGATTTTCCACAATTACTACTCATAGCTTTGGTGATAAAGATGCACATTAGGCATTCCAGCACACCCTACAATTTTCCAGTTTTAGATCTGTGCTCTCTGAACCCTCTTGTTCTGTTTTGCACACCTGAGAGAAATAGTTCATTTGTATTAAATCTCTTTATCATGAATACTTCAATTTGATCATTCCATGACATTTGAATCTCAACCGTTGTATTAATGTGATCCTTTAAACTCAGGACTTTTAAATTTGTTCACAGGATGTAGGCATCACTGGCTAAGCTAGCTAACTGGCTAACCCCATTTCTGAAGAAGGGTCCCGACCTGAAACATCAGCTTTCCCGCTCCCCTGATGCTGCCTGGCCTGCTGTGTTCCTCCAGCTCCACACTGTGTTATCTCTGACTCCAGCATCAGCAGTTCTTACTATCACTGGCTAAGTTAGCATTTGTTTCCCATCGCTAATTGCTGGAGAAAATGGTAATGAGCCATTTTCTTGGACCAGTGCAGTTGTTGGAGTGTAGGGATTCCCATAGTACTGTTAGGAATATGTGTTTCTTTATGGTAAATTTATACCTGCAAGGCCGCCACATCTTGAAGTTCACTGCCTAAAAGTAAGCACAGTATTCTGGATGACCTTCACTGTGTACAGCTGACGCATCACAATTTTACTTTTTAATATCAATATTGCTTGTAGTGTTTTCATAATCCATTTGTTTGTGAACAGAATGCTCATTCTTTAATAATCCTACAAAGAATTTAGAATAGAAACTGCCGATATAAACCTTTTCACAATATAATTGCACTTTCCCCATTGCTATTTTCCACTTGTGATTGGCAAAATTGACCATGTACAGATGTAAGATTTAAATATAAAATAACTACATACTATCAAATTAAATAATGGATTAAAAATGACAAAATGCTTGATTTCAAATGAGAACTATCTTCCATCCTTGTACACTGCTTTAGTTGTCCCTCAACTTTAATCCTGTTTCACCTGAATATTATACCTAGTTTGGAGCTCAGGTACAGCACAATGGAGGATCAATTAATGTTCACTTATTTTTAAAAACCTCCCAATTATTAACGTGCAAAAACTTTCTAATAAAAATTGAATGTTTTTATTTTAACAGGCTTTAGATTTGGCAGCCCTAGCTACTGAGCATTCCCAGTTTAAAGATTGGTGGTGGAAAGTACAAATTGGAAAATGTTACTACAGGTAAACTAACTTAGATTTACATTTGTTTTGAATTAGAGAAGATGAATGCATTGGGTGGACTTTTCTGCTTTTCTGGTCATGAACTTGTAGTTGGGAAGGGTGTTTAATTAAATGCAGTGGAGGCAAACTGACACCTGCTGTCTTCCTTTCCCCCACCAGAATTGGGTTCTAGGTGGGAAGGCATGTGTTTGACTTTTCTACCCTGCTACCGATTGTGGTCTCTAAGTGGTCCATTAAGGACCATAAGGTTTACATCCTGCTGCAGCTAAGATTTGCCCAACTGCTAGCAGGCCTGTCCTTATGTGATGTCCATGATAGGTCAAACTGTACAGCCCACTTAGCACCTTGGATGGTGGAGCCCCTCAATCAAATCATTTTAAAGAAATTCTCCCTTTTAACTATGTCCCCTGTTTTGTGATTCCCCCACTAATGGAAACTTCTCAACATTTACCCTCCCAAGACCCCTCCATCTTGTATGTTGGATCAAGATCACCTACATTCAGCTAAACTCTGATGATTAAAGGCCTACAGTGAATAAAATTTCTATAAAACATTGTTGTTTTGAATGCAGGGAAGTATATACAAAACATGATAAATGAATGAATGCTGTCAATGTGTTCTACAGAATTTCAACGTTATTGTCTAATTTTTTTGTTCTCAAAAGATTGGGTTTGTATCGTGAAGCAGAGAAGCAGTTTAAATCTGCATTCAAGCAACAGGAAATGGTTGATACAGTTCTTTACCTGGCAAAGGTAAGCAGTTGTATTATATATATCACATCTCTCAATATGCAGGCCAAAATTTGCTGTAACTTGTCATCTAACGTTGTCTGCTATAGTTAGTTTTGTTCCTACATCCTTCAGTTCAAAATAAATTTTCTCACAAGATTGCAATCTAGTAACAGCACGTTGTGGGAAATGACATATAGATTCAATTCAGAGAGAAAAGAGGAGATATGGACAAAAAGGAATTTTATTATTTAAGAAATTTAAAAATTCAAAACTTGATGGAATAAGACTCCACTCTGTAATAGTTCATATACGTGCCAGAATTTGATTGGCAGTTATGAAACACTTTCATGTTGTTAAAAGGTACCTGCAATATTAATTTAAAAACCAAAAGAACGGTGGATGCTGGAAATCAGAAACAAAAACAGAAATTGCTGGAAGAAGTCAGCATATCTTGCAGCATCTGTGGAGAGAAATCGGAGTTAATGTTTTGAGTTCAGTGACCCTTCTTAAGAACTGATGGTAGCATGTGATAACAAGGCTTGGTGTGTGAAGGTTGGACCAAGGACTTGGGAGCAGATGCCTCAAACCCTAAAGTTGTTGAACTTGATATTGAGTTCCCAAATGGAAAATATGGTGTACAGCAGCAAGCCTAAGACAGGAATGTTGACCAGGGAACAAGGTGGTGTGTTGAAGTGGCGGCAGCTGGAAGGTCAGGGTTCTTCTGTAGACAGAATGTAACTGTTCTGTGAAGCAGCCATCCAGTCTGTGCTTTGTTTCCCCAATGTAGAGATGTCCGTGTTGTGAGCAGTGAATGCAGTAGACTAGATTGTGAGCCCTTGGATACTGAGGAGGGAGCAAGTAACTGCGCTGGTGTTATACTTCCTGCAGTTGCAGGGGACAGTGCTGTGGGGCTATTGCAGTTGTTGGGAGTGAAGGAAGAGTGGACCAGGTTGTCCTATAGAGAATGGTCCTTTCAGAAGGCTGACAAGAGGGGAGAGGGGAATGTGTGTCTTGTGGTGGCATCCCACTGAAGGTGGCGGAAATGGCAGCTAATGATCCTGTGGATGTGGATGTGGATGTGGATATGGATGCTGGTGCGATGGTAGGTGATGACAAGGGGGGGACCCTATTGCATATATGGAATGAAGAGAGAGTTTGATGGCTGAAGTGTGAGAGGTGGGTCAGATCCAGCTGAGGGCCCTGTCAACTACGGCGCTGGGGAATCCTCGATTGAGGAAGTAGGTGGACTTTTCCGAGGCCCCCTTGTTGAAGTTGACATCATCAGAAGAGGTGGAGGAACTGAGAGAATGGAATAGAGTCTTTACAGGAAGCAGGATGTGAGGATATATAGTCAAGGTAACTGTGGGAGTCGGTGGGTTTGTAGTGGATATTGATGGCCAGTTCATCCCCAGAAATGAAAACAGAGATGTCAAGGAAGAGAAGGGAGGAGTCAGAGATGGATCGGGTGAAAGTGAGATGGGGGTGGAAATTGGAAGCGAAATTGATAAACGTTTCCAATTCCAGATCAGGGAGGGAATCAGCATGACATCACCGATGTACCAGTGCAAGAGTTGTGGGTGGGAGCCAAATAAGACTAGAACAAGGAATATTCCACATACCCCACAAAGAAACAGCCACACTGGAGCCCATGCGGGTACCCATGGACACCCATTTGACCTGAAGAAGGTGACAGTAGTTAAAAGAGTTGTTCAGGGTGAGGACGAGCTCGGCCAGGCAGAGGAGGGTGGTGGTGGATGGGAACATTTCACCTGAAAGAAGAGCACCTCATTTTCCGCTTGGAAACTTTACAGCCTTCTGGAATCAGTATCAAATTCAACAATTTTAAGCTTGGAGGCACCTTCTCCCACGTCCTTACTACAACTGCTGCACACCAGGTCTTGTTATTACATGGTCTGCTATTACCCTTAGCCTATTCTTAGCCAGTGAGAGACCCGATTAGCAGCTATTCATTCCCCTAGGCTGACCATTATCCACTCCTTTGTCCAACTGTCCTTCTTTCTCTTTAGGCTCTATCTCTACCTATCGTTTACTCTTTATCCCCTCCCCCATCCTATCTTCTGCATAAAAACTAACATTTGCCTAGCTACCATCAGTTCTGAAGAAGAGTCACTGGATCCGAAACGTTAACTCCAATTTCTTTCCACAGATGCTGCCAGACCTACTCACTTTTTCCAGCAATTTCTGTTTTGTTGCAATACTAATTATTAGTCCTAAGTATGTACAGTGGGCTTATTTTGTATCCATGCTGCAAATACAGCAACGTCATCAAAGTTGATGCTAAAATATGATATTGAAATGCCATTTTGGTATTATGAAACTGAAACAACAACCTCTTCATAATCACCTTTAAACTATGCATCTGTCCCTCGCCTGAAGTTTTCTTTTAACCATTGACAGACAAATAATTCCCAAGTCTCATTTGTCTCATTCCCAACAACACCTTCTGATCACTGTGGTAATATTAGCTACTGGATCAATTCTGAAAAGATTAATGAATAAAGGAAGTTAAATATAAATTCTTACACCTGCTAAATAGTTTTCAATTTATTTGAATAGGTCTATATTCGTTTAGACCAGCCGTTGACAGCATTAGGCCTTTACAAGCAAGGACTGGACTGTTTCCCAGGGGAAGTTACACTACTTACAGGAATAGCCCGTATATATGATGTATGTATTGTACATGTCTGTTCTTTTTCAGAATTTTGAAAATCTTTTCAAACTGTTCTGTATTGACGTTTTGTCTTAATTTTGCCATCTTGTAACATGTTGCTTTTGAATTTAACAGGAAATGAACATCATGGAGTCAGCCACTGAATATTACAAGAACGTTTTAAAACAAGATAATACAAATGTGGAAGCCATTGCGTGTATAGGAAGTAATCATTTTTATTCAGATCAGCCTGAGATTGCATTGCGATTCTATAGGTGAGATCAGAAGATGCAACAATAACTAAATTAACTATGTTAATAAAACAGTTAGACTCAGGATAGGGAAATTGATTCAGTTTCCAATGATATGTGCCTTTGTATTTTCTACTTCTGAGTGCACATGCCTTGTTATTTGGTGATGAATTTCAATTCAGACTTGGCTTCAGTGGAACCTGTGGCTTAATAGCTTACCAGGACCCATTCTCCATTCAAAAAAAATTGCTATTTGAAAAAAAAATGCAAGGGCTACAAGGTGATGGCATTGCTGAGTTCAGAAACTTATCAATCAATACATCATCACCTCCTGAACAGTAATCTGATAAGACAGATCTCCTCGATTGCATTCATTTGCATACTGCATTTCATTGTAACTCCCATGGGGGACTACAGCAAGTAGCAGCAAGGCTCAACTGATTTTAATTGCTTTGCCTTATTTGACATGCTGTTTAACTTCTGCCCTATCTAGCCCATGAGGGAGCAGACTTTTTTTTGAGCCTGCCTTGCTCGGCTTTCTGAATCCAAGCTTTTGTTCACAGCAGATTTGTCCTGGTTTGGAATCCATTTAGACCACAAAACCGTAAGGTATCAGAGCAGAATTAGACTATTTGACCCATTGAGTCTGCTTTGCAATTCAATCATGGCTGACATGTTACTCAACCATATTCTCCTGTCTTCTCCCCATAGCCCTTGATACCCTAACTAATTAAGGACCTATCGGTCTTAAAAATACTCAATGTCTTGGCCTCCACAGCCTTCTGCGGCAATAAGTTCCACAGATTCATCACCCTCTGGATGAAGAAATTCTTCATCACCTCCATTCTAAAGGGTCATCTCTTCCCTCTGAGGCTATGGCCTTGGGTCTCTCCTATTAATGGAAACATCTTCTCCATGTCCACTCTATTTAGGATTCACAGTATTCTGTAAATTTCAATGAGATTCTCCCACATCCTTCTAAACTCCATTGAATACAGACCCTGAGGTCTCAATCACTCCTCATATGACAAGTCCTTCAATCCCAGGATCATTCTTGTGAACTTCCTCTGAACCCCCTCCAATGCTAGCACATCTTTCCTTTGATACGGGGCCCAAAACTGCTCACAATATTTCAAATGTTGTCTGACCAGAAGCTTGTACAGCCTCAATAGCACATCTTGCTGTGTATTTTAGCACTTTCTAAATGAATGCTAACATTGCATTTGCCTTCCTAACTGCCAACTGAACCTGCATGTTAGCGACTTGTAGCTTTACCCTTAGCTTTGGTTTAAAGTGGTAGATTAAGCAGTTGATGATATCAACAGATGTTTGCTTATAGCAGAAATAAGTTCATCTTGAGCTCTTTTGCATACTTCCTAGCAAACTAACCATTCATAGGCAGGCAGAGTGAGTGGAAATACTGATGCAGGAAGACCTTATAGCAGAAATTTGAGAAAATAAGAAAGACTGAATACTTTAACATGAGCAATTATCATGAATTCTTTTCTTGAATTAATAAAATGACAACTATAGAACCTTGTAGTATGAAAACTAAAATTATAAAGAAACGATTCCATGCAAGTATGAAAATCTAAAATATTGGGCATTTTTCATGCAAAGGGTGCTGCCAGAGAAGTAGTGGAAGTGAGTACACTTATAATATTTAAAAGACATCGGGATAGGTATGTGAATAGAAAGGGCTTAGAAGGATAAGGGCTAAATGCTGGCAAATGGGACTAGGTCAGATTGGGATGTCTGGCCAGTGCAGACGAGTCGGACCAAAGGGTCTGTTTCTGTGCGATATGGATCTATGTTGTAAGTGTTGCTTGTTATGCGGAGAGTTCAAAGTTTTCAGTTTTGGGATTGTGTTGAAAAGATTTTCTTTTCTGCAGGCGACTTCTCCAAATGGGTGTTTATAATTGTCAGCTCTTCAACAACCTAGGGCTGTGCTGCTTCTATGCACAGCAGTATGATATGACTCTGAGCTCATTTCAAAGGGCACTCGCACTGGCTGTGAATGATGAGGAAGTGGCTGATGTATGGTACAACCTTGGCCATGTAGCAGTGGTATGTAATGAATTCATTATACAAATTATTATAACAGCTTCTTTCCAATTACATAGAATATAAGTTAGGATATTAGATCTTGAGGGGACATGACAGGGTAGATTCTGAGAGAATGCTTTCTCTTGTGGAAGAGACTAGAACAGGGGGTGCAGCTCAAGAATAAAAGATCCCGCTTTTAAGAATGAGATGAGGCTAGTTGTTTTTCTGCACGACCTTAGTATATAGAATTCTTTTCCCCAGAAAACAGTTGAGACTTGGTCATTGAATTTATTCAAGGTTGAGTTATGAGTTTCAATAGACAAGGCAGTTGAGGTTTATGTAGGGTAGAGAGGAAGTAGAATTGAGATCTCAGTCAGATCAGCCATAATTTCATTGAATGACAGATCAGGCTTGAATGGTTGAATGGCTTACTCCTGTTCTGATGTTATTTGTTCCTACAGTACAAATGCCAGTGCTCCTCTTGAACTAAGTTGAATTAACACAGTTGTAAACTATTGTAGTTCAGAAAAATAATTGATGGAAAGCAGTAAAATAATTTTAATGAATATATGAAATATGATTGTGATATAGTTATTACAATTAAATCAAGATGTGTAATTAGGAATTTAACAGTAATAATACTGGTTTGTTCTTTTTCAAATTAACTATCATTCTCTACACCCAAATTTATTCAGATGACTTTTCATTATTCTATTTCCAGCAGCATTTAAATAATTGTTTATGAAGATAGTGAAATAAACACACTTCATTACAAGGTTTTGTGAATCATTTTGCATCATTACATTTTTAAAATATAAATTGTGCAAATACTGCTGAAATGCATTTACAATAATATTGACCTTCAGTTCATTTGATTTTATTGAAAATATGGTCAAGTAAATTATAATTTATTGAAGATATAATGGTAATTGTTATATCCATGCTTCTAAATCTGAGTCAGCATTGTTAAGGATTAGCGGCATGAGGAAGAAACCCAATCTCTTAACATTGCTGGCATAAAGCCTGGATGATTTTAACTCCTGGGCATCAGTTCAATATAATTTCTTAGAATATCTGACCACCTGATTGTTTGAGGAAATGGACAGTTGGCCCACTTTCAAGATGAAATTGCCAGCAGGCTGCCAAAGATTTATTTAAAGCAACAATGCACCTGTTGATTGGAGTTGCATTCTGTGCTTTCACACACAAAATAGAGAATTTCTGCAAACAGTTTACTTCAGACTGTCATATGCCTTTCTGGAGAAAGTAGTGGAAGAAGTCTGGGCAAGGAGTTAGGGATTATTCCTTAAATTTTGCAAGAGTGTCTCCTGAACCACTGCAGCAGAACTTGACTTAGGTGGCTGAGAGGGCATGCCCATCAAAATAATCCCCAGGACATAGACTCAGTGAGGGAAAGGTTCAGCAGTGTCAAGAAACAAGAATGAGCACACGTCATATGTTCTGTCTTTTTACAACACTTGCAACACTTTTATTTAGTCACTCCATTTCCCTCCACTCCATGACAGCTTTGAACATACTGTCGCACAACACCTCCCTTTCTTATTTGAGGCACAAACCTCATGCTGTATTGCCTTCACGAGACACCAACATCATTTTCTTCTCATACTGTGATACTTGCAAACCAGTAATCTTTTACAGGATTTCTTCTTCACTATATATTTCACACAATTGCACTCAGCAATGATACACATCTCACCACCTGGCTTTGTAATAAAATGCACCAGCTCCCATCCTCTTCTCCTGCAGGACAAAATAGTGCAATCTCATGTAGAGGATCCACACATTGGAAACACAGCTGACCTTGCAGCTTTGACACGATGGGATACAACCTGAAGATTAATACCCAAGCGAAACCATAAGCGCCAGAGAAGTCAAACTTTATCTGAACACCTGCATTTTACCTGAAACACTGGGCTGTGTTATGAGGTACTGGAGTCCACTACCTCACTCCCCGACCCAAACTAATTGTCAATAATAGCCTAAAGTGAGGTTTCAAACTTTCATTGACAAGAAATCCCACCTCAGAACTGCCAGCTAATCAGATGATTGTAATTGGATTTGAGTTAGCATTTGATGCCTCGATAGGTACCCAAGCTGTCTTAAGATGTGGGCATCACTGACCATGGCCAACATTTATTGTTCATCCCTAATCGCTCTTGCAGATGTGTTGACATTTTGAATACAACTTACTGGCTTTCAGAGCCAATTTAAAAGGCAGCTTTGAGTCAACCACTGTGTTGTGGGCCTGGAGTCACATATAGGACAGCTCAAATAAGAATGGCAGGATTCTTAAAGGACATTAGTGAACCAGATTATGTTTTTAAAATAGTCAAATAGGTTTGTCAATGCCAATGTTAGTTGTTAGGTTTTTATTCTGGATTTATTTAATTAATTGCATTGAAGTATTAGAAATTATTTCCAATAAGGAAATGGATGATTTTACAGAACAGGTGCATGCTGCTGTTTTATGCTCCACACAATAAAGAATCTTAATGCTTTTTTTAAAAACTGAAATGAATTATTTAGCGTAAATTGAAATTCCAGCTTGCTTTATGCCATGATAATGTTATAATGGTTTAATATTTATTATTTGTGGAATTGAGTTTGATAGATTGTGAAGATAGCTAGTATTTTTAAGAGGTCAATTTGAAACTGTTCTTTAATTCATTTGGTGAAAACAACACAGTTCCAGACATTTAATGGTCTTGGTTGTTTAAGCTCCTTTCAAAGAAAACACCTCACAATTTTTGTGACTGGGATTTCTGGCTGTTCAGTCTGAGAACAGTGTTTTGCAGGTTCAAAAATGCTTTGGAATTGGAGTTGTGGAAGCTTACTGCAGGAAAGGAGCTGCTCACCTCATGTCTCCTGATTCTGAAATACTTTTGGTGGTGAATCCAATGAGAATCCCTACAGTGTGGAAACAGGTCATTCGGCCCAACAAGTCAACACCACCCCTCCAAAGAGCATTTCCCCCAGACCTAACCCCCTACCCTTTCCCTGTAATCCTGCATTTCTCACATCTAATCCACCTAATTTACACACCCCTGGACACTATGGGCAATTGAGCATGGCCAATCCACCTAACCCACACATCTTTGGACTGTGGAAGGAAACCGGAGCACCCAGCGGAAACCCATGCACACACGGGGAGAATGTGCAAACTCTCACAGACAGTCGCCCAAGGAATTGAACCCGTGTCCCTGGCGCTGTGAGGCAGCAGTGCTAACTACTGAGCCACTGTGCAGCCCTGTGAGACTGGATTGTATTCTTGAAAAGTCCTTTCCATATTGTGTTTCCTTAGCAAACAATGTCTGTCAAGATCCCAGAGACAATTAATTATATTGGAGACAGCAGTCTACATTTGCCAGAAAGCCAGACTGATAGCCATCTGAATATTTCACAACATATATTTTTTTGGGATTACTTGTGGTAGAGCCCCAAAGGAAACATGTCGTTCTGGGTCTGATGTGTAATGAGCCGGACTTGCTTCGAAGGTGAAGGGACAACATGATAGAATTCACCCTGTGTTTTGAGACGGAGAAGCTAGAATGAGATGTAACGGTATAACAGTTGAGTAAAGGTAATTACAAAAACATGAGGGAGGAACAGGCCGGAGTTGATTGGAAGGGGAGCCTAGCAGGGAATACGGTGGAGCAGTAATGGCAGGAGATTTTGCGGGTAATTCGGGAGGCACAGCAGAATTTCATCCCAAGGAAGAAGAAACATACTGGGGGGAGGACAAGGCAACTAAGACTAACAAGGGAAGTCAGGGACAGCTTAAAAGCAAAAGTTAAAGTGTATGATGCTGTGAAGGTTAGTGGGAAGCAAGAAAATTAGGAAACCTTTAAAAACCAGGAGAAAACAACTAGAATAGCAGTAAGTGGGGAGAAGATGAAATATAAGAGTAAGCTAGCAAGTAATATAAAAGAAGATTACAGCAGTTCTTTAGATACATAAAAGGTAAAAGAGAGGCAAGAGCGGGCATTGGACCACTGGAAAATGAAGCTGGAGAAGTAGTAATAGGGAACAAAGAAATGGCAGAGAAACTGAATAAATACTTTGTATCAGTCTTCACAGTGAAAAACATCAGTAGCATTGCATAACTTCAAAAGAATCAGAGATCAAAGATGAGTGTTTTGGTCTCCACTAAGGAGAAGGTGCTGGGATAGCTGAAAGATGTGAAGGTGGATAAATCACTCGTACCAGATGGACTACACCCTAGGGTTCTGAAGGAGAGAGCTTGGTGGTTGATCTTTCAAGCATCATTGAAGTCAGGAGGACCCCAGGGAACTGGAAAATAGTTAATGTAACAGCCCTGTTAAGAAGGGAGGAAGGTAGAAGACTGGAAATTGTAGGATGGTTAGCCTGACTTCAGTCATTGATAACATTTTAAAGTCCATTATAAGGATGAGATTGCTGAGTTTTGGAAGTGCATGGTAAAATAGGGATGATTTGGCAACTTTCATCAAGGTGAGGTCATGCTTGATAAATCTGTTAGAATTCTTTGAGGGTGTAACAAGCAAATTAGACAAAGGAGAGCCGGTGGATATGATCTGTTTGAATTTCCAGAAGCAAAATGCTGCACAGGAGGCTACTAAATAAGATTAGAGCCCATGGTGTTATTAGTATGGATAGTGGATTAGCAGACTAGCGGAATGCAGAGAGTGGGGAAAAGGGTCTTTTTCAGGACGGCAGCCAGTGGAGTTTTGCAGGTGTCAGTGTTGGGACCACAACTATTCATGTTATACATGAACATTCTGGCTGAAGGTACTGAGGGCATTGTTGCTAAGTTTGCAGATGACACAAAGATATGCAGAGGAACAAGTAGTGTTAGCAACAGGTGAGGCTGCAGAGGGACTTGGACAAGCAAGGAGAGTGGGCAAAGAAGTGGCAGGTGGAATATAATGTGGGAAAGTGAGAGGTCATGCACTTTAGTAGGAAGAATAGGGCATAGACTAGTTTCTAAACAGGAAAGGGCTTCAGAAATCTGAAGCACAAAGGGACTTAGGAATCCAGGTTCAGGATTCTCTTAAAGTTAATGTGTTGGTTTAGTTGGCAGTTAGGAAGGCAAGTGCAATTTTAGCATTCTTTTCGAGAGTGTTAGAATACAGTGGTAGGGATGTGGTGCTAAGGCTGTATAAAGTTCTGGTCAAACTGCATTTGAAATATTGTAAGCAGTTCTGGGCCCCATATCTAAGGAAGGATGTGCTAGCCTTGGTTCAGATCCAAAGGACGTTCAAAGCAGAGGAACAAGCCCTTCGGCCCTCCAAGCCTGCACCGAGCCAGATCCTCTATCTAAACCTTTCACCTATTTTCCAAGGATCTGTATCCCTCTGCTCCCTGCCCATTCATGTATCTGTCTAGATACATCTTAAATGATGCTATCGTGCCCGCCTCTACCACCTCCGCTGGCAACGCGTTTCAGGCACCCACCACCCTCTGCGTAAAGAACTTTCCACTTTCCTTAGACTTTTCCCGTCTCACCTTGAAATCGTGACCCCTAGTAATTGAGTTCCCCACTCTGGGAAAAAGCTTCTTGCTATCTACCCTGTCTATACCTCTCATGATTTTGTAGACCTCAATCAGGTCCCCCCTCAACCTCCGTCTTTCTAATGTAAATAATCCTAATCTACTCAACCTCCCTTCATAGCTAGCGCCCTCCATACCACGCAACATCCTGGTGAACCTCCTCTGTACCGTCTCCAAAGCATCCACATCCTTTTGGTAATGTGGCAACCAGAACTGTACGCAGTATTCCAAATGTGGTCGAACCAAAGTCCTATACAACTGTAACATGCACCAAAGTCCTATACAACTGTAACATGAGGAGTGGGTGAGAACTCTGGGTCTGTACTCAATGGTGTTTCGAAGGCTGAGGAGGGGGGATCTTGTTGAAATTTACAAAATACTGAGAAGCCTAGATAGAGTGGATGGGGATAAGAGTTTCCACTAGTAGAAGAGACTGGGACCCGAGGCACAGCCTCAGAGTGAAAGGATGATCCTTTGGAAGTTGATTTGAGGAGAAAAATTTGTACTGACCTGAACTCATTGCTACAGAAGGCTTTGGAGCCCAAGTTATTGAGTGTATTTAAGATAAAAATTGATAGAATAGAATAGAATCCCTACAGTGTGGAAAAGGCCTTTTGGCCCAACAAGTCCACACTAAACCTCAAAGCATCCCACTCAGACCCACCCCACTATAACCCACCTAACCTACACAGCCCTGAACACTACAGGCAATTTACCATGGCCAATCCACCTAGCCTGCACATCTTTGGACTGTGGGAGGAAACTGGAGCACCTGGAGGAAACCCAAGCAGACACCGGGAGAATGTGCAAACTCCACACAGACAGTCGCCCGAGGGTGGAATCAAACCTGGGTCCCTGGTGCTGCAAGGCAGCAGTGCTAACCACTGAGGCACAATGCAGCCCTAATATATATTGCCCTGACAATATATACTAAGGCTAATTATGCCATAACCTGGTAGATTTCCTTTGTTCGCAATTTATTCTGAACTCATAAACAATGATATAAATATTATGATTTTGCTGCAGAAAGCTAACATGGGAAATGTTCTGCCCAAAATCAACAGAAGTATTTTTCATGTTCTGCGGACAATTAGGAGTACTGTTGTATTTGTACAAACAGTCACTGTTTGTATTTATGAGATTCGGGGCACTGAAGCCAATTGTAACCTACTGCTATAATGACCATTGTTATTGGGAGTGAAGATACAACATGGATTTTAAATAACAGGTATCACAGAGATACAATTGTTGGAGAGGTTCTTGATTAGTAAGGGAATCAAAGATGATAGGGAGACAGCAGGAGCATGGGGCTGAGAAACATATATCAGCCAAGATCAAATTGCGGACCAGACTGAATTGGCTGAATGGCCTAATCTACTTCTGTATCGTACAGCCTTATATTCTCTGGAGACATCTTGACCAAAAGTGACTTTTATCAGTGAATTTCTGCCAAGAAATCTGTTTTTTCCGTTTTCTTGCTTTTGTGTTTTTGATAATTATGGGTGATAAAACTTCATTTGTAACTGGACATCATGTTGCCTTTCTTTTTAGGGAATAGGAGATATGAATTTAGCCTACCAATGTTTTAAACTGGCACTAGCCAACAACAATGATCATGCAGAAGCTTATAACAATTTAGCTGTCCTGGAGATCCACAAAGGTCACCATGAACAGGTGAGCAGCCAAAGTTGCTATGTATATAGGAAAAAGATAATTTAGAAATAAACTATTCACTTACTCCATGACTGCATTCTTCATTTATATTTTTAGGCGCGGGGGTTTCTACAGACAGCGGCAGCGCTGGCTCCTCATATGTATGAACCGCATTATAACTTCGCTGCACTTTCAGATAAGGTAACCAATACAAGCACAGAATTATTACACCAAAGGAGGAGGCCATTGGCTCATTGTCTGCATAAGTTCTCCAATGAGCATCTCACTTAGGTCGGCACGGTGGCTCGGTGGTTAGCACTGCTGCCTCACAGCACCAGGGTCCTGGATTCGATCCCACCCTTGAGCGACTGTCTGTGTGGAGTTTGTACATTGTCTACATGGGTTTCCTCCAGGTGCTCCGGTTTCCTCCCACAGTCCAAAGATGTGCAGGCTAGGTGGATTGGGCATGCTACATTACCCCATAGTGTTCAGGGATGCCTAGATTAGGTAGGTTATAGGGGAATTGGTCTGGGTGCGATGCTCTGAGGGATGGTGTGGACTTGTTGGGCCGAAGGGCCTGTTTCCATACTGTAGGGAACCTATGGTCATTTTCCTACCTTGTCCCCGTAACCCTACACAGTGTTCCCTTTTACATATAGCCATTCCATTCCCTATTTAATGCCTCAATTGAAATTACCTCCACCACAATCTCAAGCAGCACATTCCAAACCCTAACAGCTCATTTCATGAAAAACAGATTTCATCATATCACTTGCTTCTTTCACTAATTACTTTATAGCCTAGTGCTCTCATTCTTGATTTTTTTCACAAAATGGGAACATTTTTCTCCCTATTTACTCTGTCCAGACCCCTCGTGATTTTGAATGCTTTAGCCCAATGTTCTCTCAGCCTTCTTTTCTCCAAAACAAAGTCCCAACTTCATCAATATATCTTCATGACTAAAATTCCTCATCCTCGGAACATTCTCATAAACCCTAATCTACACGCTCTGTCCACTGTCTTCACATCCTTCCTAAAGTGCATCAAAGCTGGATGCATTATTTTAGCTGAGGCAGCACTAGTGTCTTCTGAGTTCAATGTAACTTCCATACTCTCGTATGCTATGTCCCTGTTATCCTTGTGCCACGATCTCTCTCAACCTATCCTGCCATCTTTAATAACTTATAGAACATAGAACATAGACCAGTACAGCACAGTACAGGCCCTTTGGCCCACAATGTTTTGCCAAACTTTTACCCTAATTCTAAGGTCTATCTAACCTCCACCCCTACCTTATACTATCATCCATATGCTTATCTAATAGCTGCTTAAATGCCCCTAATGAGGCCGACTCCACTACCCTCTCCGGCAATGCATTCCACGCCCCGACCACTCTGAGTAAAGAACCTACCTCTGACATCTCACCTATATCTACCTCCACTCACTTTAAATCTATGTCCCCTCATAATAGCTACCTCCACCCTAGGAAAAAGTCTCCGGCTGTGTACTCTATCTATACGTCTGATCATTTTGTACACCTCTATCAAGTCACCTCTCATCCTTCGTCGTTCTAAAGAGAAAAGCCCTAGCTCTCTCAACCTTTCCTTGAAAGACCTTCCCTCCATTCCAGGCAACATCCTTGTAAATATCCTCTGCACCTTTTCCAACGCTTCCACATCTTTCCTGAGGCGACCAGAACTGGACACAATACTCCAGATGTTGCCGAACCAGGCTTTTGTATAGCTGGAGCATAACTTCACGACTCTTGAACTCAATCCCTCTATTAATGAAAGCTTACACACCATACGCCTTTTTAACAACTCTATCCACCTGGGTGGCAGGTTTCAGGGAACTGTGGACATGAACCCCAAGATCCCTCTGCTCCTCCACACTGCCAAGAATCTTTCTGTTAATCCTGTATTCTGCTTCAAGTTTTTCCTTCGAAAATGAATCACCTCACACTTTTCAGGGTTAAACTCCATCTGCCACTTCTCTATGTACCTATGTACCCATATTCCCAAATCCCCGTGTTCCTGCACACTCCTCTGATCTAAGGAAAGACACACTGGCATTGGATGCAGTCCAGAGAAAATTTGTTAGGTTGATTCTGGGTATGGAATGATTTTTCTTTAAGGAAAGGTTGAGTGGTTTGGGCTTATATTCACTGGAGTTTAGACGAATGAGAGGATAATTATTGAAAGATACATGATTCATGGGCGGATCTTGACAAGATAGACATGGGATAGTTGTTTCCCCCTTTTGGAAGAGTCAAGGACCAGAGTGTATAAACTTGCATCAACAACTTTACCCAGGAATATTTAACATCCAGTCTTGCCCTTCCATGAGTCACATCACTGTTATAACTATTATAGATATTTTTAATCAACCTGTTTAGATGTGTTATGACACATCTCTAGAGCAGGCAGGACTTGAATTCAGGCTTTCTGACCCAGAGGTAGGAATGTTACCATGCACACAAGAGCCCCTCAGAGCTGTTATATTCTTAGTTTCATCACATGTAATTGTAACTTTTAAAAATGTAAGCAGTTCTACTTTCTAAGTTATTTACCAATGACTAATTTATAGAAATAATCATACAAAATCTGACCTGCGTATTTAAAGATCCCACTCCCTCCCTGTCAGTGACCTGCTCAAAAGAGCCAATTAATGTTTGAATATGTGAGGAAGGCAGCCAGATCAATAATGATAAGTAATGGTCAGTTCTACTCCCAGAGTTTCTGTCAGATGAGGAAAAGAATTAAAATCAAAGCTTTTGTCAAAGCCATGGAAAATAGACTACACAACACAAGTGTCCAGTCCAGTACTCCTATGGCCAAGACACTTATAAACAATCTGAGGTGTTCAGCAAAACAGTCACCTGGTCTGCAATTGCTCCAACAATGACAAGCATGACAACCAATAAAGACTATTCTCTTGCTGATATTCTAAAAATGCAGATTTAAACCTTGATATTTGCTTTAGGAACTGAATAAAACTAGAATATTTGCCAGTACTTGCTTTGCACATTTGCCCGGTGTAGTATCTTGATGGATGATCTACATTACACTTACATCTGTTTGTCTCTTCCAGGTTGGAGACCTTCAGAGCAGTTATATAGCTGCGCAGAAATCAGCAGCTGCATTTCCAGAACATGTTGACACTCAGCAATTAATCAAGCAACTGCAAGAACACTTTGCCATGCTTTAACTGTAACCATGATGCAGTGGTCTTGAGATTCTTTGTTGTTATGTAAGATATGTTACATTATTTAGATATTGCATGATGCGTCAGTACAATTGTTAGTTTCATGATTTTATCTTTCTACCTCGTACTGAAGCTCAGGGATGAATTTTCACTTTGGATGCAAGGAATTGGAAGTCAGAACTGTCCCAAATGCACCTACCGGGTGGGAGAAGCAGTCCACCTTTGAGATTTTGACTGGGGCACTCCTTTAAAGGTTTTTTAAAATCCTATTTACATTCCAGTTAAGGTCAATGGGGAGGCTCTCCAAGTGAAAGTCTGGCTTGAAAGTAGTAAAAAGTGACCAAAAGGGCACTTCAGCGTGGAAGCAATCGCTACATTTTTTTGCAAATCGTAGAAGCAGCCAAGGTACTGCTGTGTTAGGGAAGAGGAGGTGGGGGCTTTAATGTAGCTGAATCTTTACATTGTGACCTTTGGCAGTACCCATAACCAAGCAGGCAAAGGAAAGCTACCTGGAGCACTGACAAATTGGCCAGCTGCAGGACAGCCACCTCCAGACAGTTCAACAGGTCCTTGCTGGCATCACCCCGCCCCCCACAATTGGATCAGCAAGCTGGTACCTACCAGGAAAATCCCAGACCCCTGAGCACGTCACTGCTAAACGCAAGCACCAGAAGTCAAGTTTCTGACCTCAGTAGAGTTTAAAAATAAAATCTCTGGTGTCATCACTTGTGCAATGAAAATGTGAATTATGGGTCTAGATTAATGGAGCTATTGAAACTATTTTGCATTCACTGTATGTATGTCAGTCAGTGCTAGAGTAAAGCCAATGATTGATGTAACATCAGTAGTTTTGTTTGACTGTACTGTAAAATATATTAGATATATAGTAAATGTCTTAATACAGCTGTCATATTGACCTACCTGCTGATAGCGTGGTAGGCAGGCCACATGATTGAGGGTAAATCTGAAGGTAGATTATAAAATTCAAAGAAGAGTTTAAATTAGAAGTATTTTGAAAATCCAAGAACTCTCAAAGATAACAAAATAATGACCATAGTTAGATACAATTTCATATCATTCCTTTTAAAGGAAGCAACTGTTTTGTTTTTTTTTGTGTATTTTCAAATTTCATTTCTCATAAAGGAGCTATTATAGTCCAGCAAGTGAAAATGTGTTCGTGATGGTATTTCAGTCTGTTTTGTAAAGGAAGTTGTACAGTAACCATCAAAATAAAAATGCTAAATAAAGATTTGGCTTGTATCAACTGTTGTTATCACAGGCAATATTAAAAATGTGTTTGCTACAGATGGCTGTTGCTGCAGTGTTTTCTTTTACATGAAAATAATTTGCATTTATAAAGCTTCTTTCATGTTCCCTAAAACAATGCAACGTGCTCACTGGCCATGAATTACACTTGAAGTGCTGTTATTAAATGACCAGTTCAATTATGTAGTACTTACTGAGGGATAAATTTCAGCAAGAGTACTATTATTCTATTATTCAGTTTATTATTCAGTTCTGAGGAAGGGTCACCGGACCCGAAACGTTAACTCTGTTTTCTCCTCCACAGATGCTACCAGACCTGCTGAGCTTTTCCAGCAACTTTGTTTTTGTTCCTGATTTACAGCATCCGCAGTTCTTTTGGTTTTTATGTACTATTATTCAAATTGTATTATTTTTTGTATTATCAGCATTGTTGTGCTGATAGACAGGGCAAGACAGACATTTTATGACCTTGTAGGTTCTGAATGAGGTGACCGAACACAAAAAGGCAAGGCAGGGCAAGATAGAGATGCTATGAGCATCAATGTAGGTGTAGTGAATGACCTCTGAGAGAAAGCAAGAGCCCTGAGATACACCTTGCTCTGGCATGAGGTGAGTGACTGTCTCTGCTGACAAAGTGGCCTGGCAGCAGAATTGCAACGAAAGGTGTTTACAAAGTGCTAGGTTAAAGTGGAGAACTGTGTTGTAGTTGGGTCGGAGCTGTACCTTGAGGATGCGGTGAGGCTATTATGTGATATAACAATAAAATATAGTTTATTTGAGAATTTGGGTTTTGAACTTGTGCTATGTGCATGTTGGGGGTTTTGTTTATTAAATTGTTAATATTTCTGGAGTATTTTTAAAACCACTTTGAGACAGGGACTTCTTGGAGTGGTAATGTGAATTTTTGTTTATTCATTCATGACTTTTGATTGTCACTGGCTAGGCATTTATTGCCCATTCCTAATCACCAAGAGGGCAGATAAGAATCAATCACATTGCTGTGGGTCTGGAGTCACATTGTAGGCCAGACCAAGTAAGGGCAGCAGTTTTGTTCCCTAAAGGACATAAGATGGGTCTTCTCTGACAATCAATATCTTCATGGTCATCATTAGACTTTTAATTCAAGGTTTTTATTAAATTCAAATTTTACCTCTCCCATGGCAGAGATTCAATCCCAGGTTGCCAGAGCATTACTAGGGTCTCTGGATTAATGATCTAGTCATAATACCGCTAGGTCATCACTTTGCAGTGAGAAGTTTGAAGGATCGGGAATTGATTTTGTTTTGCTGAGGGTAAAAACCCATAGATTGGAAAACTTCTGGCTAGTAGTGCACAAAAGGCCTTATTAAAGTTTCTCCTAGAGAAAAGAGTTAGTTAAGAAAAGCTAGGAAATGGGTTACCTCAGTATAAAGGCTTTAAGTTCCAACTTAAGTTGAAAGTTCCAGACCAGAAGTGTCTCATTAGAACACCGAAGGGGTTTTCAAAGCTGAAAAAAATCTAATCTCAGTTGTGTGAATACTCAAGAAAGAGATTTTCAAACTGTCAAGACTGAGAACTGAAAGCAAAAGTTAAGTCAAACCTATAGAGGTGATAAAGAAGGGAATTGCCTCTGGTGTTTGTGTGCTGTAAAGTGATGCTGTTAGGATATATGGGATAGTATTTTTATTGTATTTTAACATATTTCAAATTTCTACATGTAAGTAGACTAGTTTATGTTTGTTTTTGCACAACGCACTTCTGTTTTATTAAAAAAAACAAAAATAAAAAGCCATGTTTTTTATATCTCTTATGATTCTGGTTATTACCGGACGAGTAAGGTCCCAGATTGAATTCTGGCTTGTTAGATC